TGAACTTATAAATTTTCAGAGAAAATGGTCTGAAATATTTTTTTACTTGAAAATAACTGAAAAGAATGAGTTTTTTCTAAAATTCGTTAAAACAACAAAAAGTGATGAAGGGGATTGTTTGAGAGGTCAGATTTTTGTGGACATATGGACTTTCATGTGATCTATCGAATGAACTTTGAACGAAAGTCTAACATCTTATCGTTAGGCTAAAAAGTAGATTTTAATTTTTGTCAGAATTTCATTAAAACGCGCATATGCTCCCGAAAATATGTTTCCGTCTCCTGACGCGTTGAGATTCGGATAGAGCTCAAAATTCTGACTGTATACAGACATTTTGAGTTTTGTGATCTTTTCTTTTTAACTATTATATCTACACTAGTTCAGAATGATAAAAAATAAAAAACTTGGCTTTTTAATTATCAAAGCCTTGTTATTCAAAATAAAGTTTATAATCATGATGTAGATAAAAATCTGAATCTAACTGTATAAAATTCGATTAGTTCTCTAACTTTTTGCTTAGATCTTTAAACGAGAAACACTTCTGCGACATCATTTTCACTTCTTTCCCTTTTGTTTGGTATTCACCAATGGGAAAGCAAGATACAACATGTATATCCTGGATCCTTATTTTCGGCTAACAGAAAAGAAAAGACAGCGAAACGTTTCGAGTGGGCATCGCGATTTCTTTCCTGTCCGAGAAATCAAGGTAACATTAATATTTGAATTTTGAGTGCGTTCTTCGTATTGAAACTTTTTTGTTTTGGTTTAAAATTCGCGTACATTCCATTCCCGGTATAAGTTCACTTTATGGAACTTAAGGAATCCAGATTTTGACTATTCCATCGTAAGAGCATCACTTAAAATCTATAAATTGACAAAAGAAACTTGGCGGCAAACACTCGAAACCCAAAAAAAATTCAATTTAGTCTCATTAGTGCCTGAGGGGGGACCAAAGGCACAAATTTTGAACAACATTTTTTTGTTTTTTCTGCTAAATATACATCATTGAAGTGAGGGTGAGTGGAGGAAGGTTTTTTAATTAAAAGTAGCTGCTTACAAAACGTTATTAAAAATAAATATGATATTCATAATCTACGTACAAAGCCAAACCGAATGATGTGATTTTCTGAAATAACGTTGTTTCGTCATAACTTCTTGCCTTGGTCCCCCTCAGGAATCGAGCGAGGGTTTTAGAATTTCTATTCAAAACCAAAACTATATTCGTAATCTACGTACGAAGCTGAGTTCAATGATGTATATTTAGCAGAAAAAAAAATTGTCCAAAATTTGTGCCGTTGGTCCCTCTCAGGCACTAATGAGACTAAATTGAATTATTTTTGGGTTTCGAGTGTTTGCCGCCAAGTTTCTTTTGTCAATTTATAGATTTTAAGTGATGCTCTTTACGATGGAATAGTCAAAATCTGGATTCCTTGAGTTCCCCATAAAGTGAACTTGTTCCCCGTTCCCTCGACCTTGAAATCAAAATACTTTATTATTTATACGGGTGCACTTTGCTTTTTCAATTAAAGTACATACACTATGTATAAAGTGCATACAGTCCAATCTGAAAACGAACAATCACAAAAAGACATTCACTTCTTTTTACATGGTTTTAAATTTGGACCAAAGGATATTTCATAAAAATTCTTAAGTGCTCGACTTAAGTCATACTTAAGTGAGTAAAATTAACAGGTAAGTGTACAAAACGAAGACTTAGTTAGGCCGAATACTTAAGAATTTTTATGAAACATCCTCCAGGTGAGACGTTTTTGAGATCTTTTTTAGGTAGATTTTACCGTAAAGTTCATGCTTATTTTGTAATTCTCTCGCTTTCATTCTTCTTTATTGTAGATGTCTTATGAGTTAATAATTCGCAAGTAGCCATAGTATCCGATAGGACGCTGGCGTCGACAAAAAATCTTAAAAAGAGAGAACTTCTATTAGCACTTTTTAGAGGAAACGAAGAAAAGAAAATTGTTTAATGAACTAGTAGATTTTCCCACCATTTCTAATATTTTATAAGTAAAATACGATAGTTGACAGAACTACAGGGCTTGGGCTAGCCGACTATAATGTGACTGATCATATATCTTAGTATGTTTTAAGTAATTCATGTTGATCTGTCTGAAATGATTAGTTTATTGCTCGGAATAGTGAAGATCATACGATTTTTACCAGTTTATTTGTATATTTTCCCTTTTCTCAGAAAGTTTTAACGGATGATTTGTAAAAATTTCGAAGGTTGTTAGGACCTTCTTCACAAGTGAATCGAAGAAGCAAGTCAGTGAGCCGTTCAACATTTTGTGAGAGTCAAATCTTTTTAAGTTTCATCCCCCAGTAATAGACTTGTATTGTTTTATGAATTAGTGAGAAGTTTCATGTCAGAAACAGGATTTCTAATGAGATTTGGCACTTAGCAACAATGTTCAATTCGTTATTTATGTAGTTGAGGCTAAATTCAAGGACTTTAGTTCGAATTATAAATTATTCTAGTCCATTCTTGTGAGATACTCTCTAGACCTCCTCAGTTTCATTTACATGAACTGATGCTTCATTGAACATTGCCTATTTTTCTCCTAAGCTCGTTCGATATCTTAAAACTGTTCTTCGTATCCCAATCTTCAAAAATGGATTCTCTCTATTTTTGATCGTCAGTGTGCTGTGCTGTCTGTGTAGATATCTGTTGGTGTCTCCATGCTTTACTATTCTCCTAAACCGGAAGTGGAAAAGAAGATATATGAGAAAAAGGATATTGCAACGTAAAATGAATATACTCTGAGTACAAGCAATGAGTTGTTATTTTAAGCATCAATTGGTGGAGAATGACGTCAGGAAAATTGTTTTTCTTGAGTGGATGAGGGCGTTGTAATCAAACATGCAATGATAATACTAGTTTGACATCATAAAGTGATTCAACAAATGATTCAATATCTACGCGTATGTTGTACGAATAATTTACGGGTAAGAAAAGTAATATATATTCTAGTCGTTTCGTTACCTAGGTAATCTTTTTTTTATTATTAAAATTTTTTTCTTTCTCATTTTTTCATAAAGATTTGTTAGAAATTGAAGCAAGTTAAATCTTTTATTTTTTAAATCTGATAACTTTTTTAACTTTTAAGTTTCTTTTCCAAGGAAAGAGAGAAAAAGTTTATTAAAATAAGAGACTGGTACTAGACTGTTGACCGTTTGCGTACTTCCTCCAGAGCTTCAAATGCAAATATTTATACGTTTGCACTGTGGTTTTTCAATCAAAGTGTAAGAGTCAAAATACCCTATGTAGAAAGTGCATATGTTCGACACCTGAAAAAGAACAATCACAAAAAGAAATTAACTAACAGTCGAGATGATGTATATGATAATATCGAATCTTATAAACTACCAATCATGCTCATTTTGAGTTTTTAATCGAATTTTGTAGAGAAAATGTTTATAAACATTTTCTAGTTTAGATGCAAAAAAATATTTACCTTGATTTATGTGACAGTATGACAAATGCATTGGGATTTTTAAGAAATTTACTTTTCCAGAATTTAAAGTGTGTAAAACCTGATTTAGAAAAATAGGTACTATAAAACTGTACAAAGCAGATTATGACTGATCTTTAGTAACTAATTGAACATAGAATATAAGAATTTAGTTTATTTAACTGGTATTTGTAGGCGAAGGGTATGTGTATGATCGTTTCGCTCGACTTTTTTTCGTACAACTTGAAGATAATCAATTCCTGCTTTACATGAAAATATGAACATCATTCTACACGAATATAGTCTAAATATCATCAGTTTGTTTTATACTTGTTTAAACATGAGATTGATTCAAAGTGAATATTAGATACACATATAATGACGTTATTTTTCTATTTTCATTTTTGCGTTCAAAATAATCTCAAGTAGTTTACGACGAAGAAAAGAGGTTACTGCGGTCACTCTGATACAGATTGCTATAAATAAAATAATAAGAGTTAGTTTGAATATTTTACATTTATTTAAATCATAAACGTGACAAAATTCTTTTATATAATGTAAAGATAAACAGATAGTTATCACATATTTCCGTGATGAGGTTATTTATATATCTTCTATGAATTAGTCAATGATCAGTATACAACATAGTGTACTGTGCGAACATATGACTGTCCGTCCACATAGTCGCCTATTAAGGGGATTTGATTTTGACGGTCGATTTTGATGAAGGAAGTCTTTCAGGATATATAACTATCGGCACTAATCTAACAGTTTTGTTCAATTCTGGTTGTCGAGTCATTATATCAAACGATTCTTGAACTCACAGTCTGAGTATCGAGTATCTTTTGAAATAATTTTTCAATTAATCTTGTAATTTCTTTCCTCTACGATTTCGAAGAGCTAATTTAATCTCGTCTTTTTTATTGTTATATGATTAATGTACTGAAATTCGACACCAATTTACATTAATAAATGTATATCCTATCTACATTCTTCACTGGTTGACATCATACATTTTATGGTTGATTAGATAAATTAACCATACAAAATATGTATCTCACTCTATAGTACACTATGTTGTGTACTGGCCATGGACTGATTAATAGAAGCTGTGTGAGTAACCTCATCACTAAAATATGTGATAACTATCCTGTTTATCTTTACATTATATAAAAGAATCTTGTCAGATTCATTTTAACACTATTGCTGGGCAATGTTGTTCAGAACATCGACACGTCGACGTTTATGGTTTAAATAAATGTAAAATATTCAAAGCTGCTGTTATCTCAATTATTTTCTTACTCAAATTATTACTCATCACAAGAAATAATTAGATTAGCAGCAGTCTGTTATTAAGCGTGTATTAGTTCTGAAAATCGATGGCTTACCTCAGTTCCTCTCTCACCAATTATAAATTAGATATTTTCCTTTTTCGAAAGTTAAATGCTTTTAAAGACAATTTAAATGTCAATGGTACACTGGATGAGAATCATTAAATACATTTAATATTTTCGCTCTCTTTAGTTTCAGAAAATGTCATCTCAAATTGATAGTGGTTCAGTTATTTCATCACCCATTCGCTTTTATGATTCTACATTTTATACCATTGCACTGACAAGTTTAACGTATTTAGTATTTCAAATCTATTCTATCAGACCTCATTCAAAACGTATAATATTATTTCTTTCATTCATTTGTACATGTATTGGTTCTGAAATATTTTTTCGTATTCTCTATTATAAATCAATATTAAACACTGATCGTTTGATAAATTTAAATATCGTAAACTACTTTTCACCAACAATTATTCATTCAACAATTTTATTATCGATTACTGCACTTTTATGGAATGCCACACAATGTTCAGCATTAGCAACAGTTTTATTGTCACTATCGCCATCGTCTGAATCTTCATCATCAAATCATGTTTATCGTCGTTGGCTTCGGCATATATTTATTGATCATATATTTGCTTTATTACTAGTACGTTTAGGAAGTTTAACTGATTTACCAACAATAATTACTCTTAGTGATGTGGCATCGGTCTGTGTATTAACAAGTTGGTTTTCACAAGTAGCCGTATTTCCTTGTGTACTATGTTTTATATATTCGTTTGTCAACATAGAAAAAATTGACTTAAAAACTCCTCCTCATCCTTCTATCAATGTAAACTCTATACAAGAAGGCGATGAACTGAATAGTGTGTTACATCGTCTAAAAATAATTAAAATAATTGGTTTAGCTTTATTTGGTATAAAGATTTCCGCATTATCTTTAGGTGAAACATTAGCACTTATATTTGCAACAATTATTTGTTTATCATGTTTATTTACATCTACGAGAGAATACAATCACAGTAGTTATTCATGGATATTTGATTCATTTTTTAACAAAAATCTTGCAAAAAAGCTTATTGACAATGCCGCTGATGATCTGATAGATTCAAGAAAACATTCAGCGTCAAGGAGTAGTTGTTCATTATTGAAAACCGATAGCAAACCACATTTCAAAACTATCATAAAAGGTACATAATCTTATATACATATATCGACGTAGTCTATAAATATATGTTGTGGCTCCATTTAGGACCGATACATTTACAAAACGGAAATGAAGAAGTATTACCACTGTTAAATGATCAATCTAGCCATCCACCAACCATTAAGCAATACCTTGAAATAAAACAGTCATCATCACCACCACCACCACCATCATTAATAGTTGCTAAACAAAATTATAAATCTCTTTCTGATGATGAACTGTTACAAATAATCATGTCCAACAATCAACGAGAATTATTACCACACAATTTAGAAAAATATTTACCCTATGATCGTGCTGTTTATTTGAGACGTTTATTTCTAAATGAAAAACTATCAGAATTATCACATGTATCTACGATCAGTGATTTACCCTACGATCATTACGACTATTCTCGTGTGACTAATCAATGTTGTGAAAACGTTATTGGTTATGTACAAATTCCCGTAGGTTATGCTGGACCGTTATCAGTTGATAATAGAGACTATTATATTCCATTGGCAACAACGGAAGGTGCACTTGTAGCAAGTACAAATCGTGGATGTAAAGTTATCGGCTTATCTGGTGGTATAAACACAACATTGTATAACGATGGTATGTCGCGGGGACCCGTGTTAAAATTTGAAACAGCTAGAGAAGCACATAAAGCGTATAATTGGTTAGACGAAAATTTTGAACAAATACAGTCATCATTTAATCGTACAAGTGGTTATGCAAGATTAAAAAATATAAAAAAAACATTATCGGCAAGATATTTATTTATTCGTTTTGTGGCAACAACAGGTGATGCTATGGGTATGAATATGCTTTCGAAAGGTGTTGAAGCAGTTTTAGAATTATTAAAACAATCGTGGGGTTCAGCTGTCGATGTTATTAGTATAAGTGGTAACTACTGTATTGGTAAGCAGATAAACAAATCACACAACTTGTTATTTATTTATACTAGAAAATGATTGTTTTCTAGATAAAAAACCGTCAGCTTTAAATTGGATTGATGGACGAGGGAAATCTGTAATCGCTGAAGCTGTAATCCCAGGTGAAGTATTAGAAAATGTATTAAAAATGAGTTGTCAACGTTTAATTGAAGTAAATTTGGCTAAAAATATGGTTGGCTCAGTAATGGCTGGTAGTATTGGTGGATTTAATGCACATGCAGCAAATACCATTACGGCTATGTTTATTGCATGTGGACAAGATCCAGCACAATGTATTGCTAGTAGCACGTGTTTAACGTGGTTAGAAGCAACTGGTCCAGATAAACAAGATTTGTATATTTCATGCACAATGCCTTCATTGGAAGTTGGTACTGTTGGCGGTGGTACATCATTATCTGGTGGACAAGCGGCTTGTTTAAAAATGCTAGGTGTTTCTGGATCTAATACTTTAAAACCGGGTAACAATTCAGTGCAATTAGCAAAAATTATGTGTGCAACTGTTTTAGCTGCCGAACTGTCGTTAATGAGTGCATTGGCAACAAATGATCTAGTCAAAGCACATCTTAAATTAAATAGAACTGTCACAACACCTGAATTTAGACAAAAATCAGAAATAGAAACTGATCAAAATAAACCTCAGCGTCCATCCACACCTGTTGTCTTCGATATTAGATAATTTTTACTTTTTTAATAGAACTTTGCTTCTTCTATAACAAAACGAGATAAATACTATTGTAATTTACTTAAAATTACACTGTTAAAAAATACATAGTCAGTTTTGTACGAATAGGGACTTGACACTTGAACTTGTTCCTTTTTCAAAGTAAATGTGTCTGAACTTTGTGTTTTTTTTAAACCTTTGATACAGTTTTGTTAAAAAGAACAAAAAACTCCGCAACTGTCTTTTCCTTTCAACTTCGGTTAGCATATATGATTAATGATAAAATCTGAAATAGTTTGGAAAAATGTGCAATTTACAGAACAGTGAGTTTTCATTGATTTTTCATAACGGATAAAACTATAATGATTATTTGTTTTGTACTCCTTACTAGAATAATAGATTATACTGAATGATCAAATAGAATCCGTATCTCAAATAATGTTTTATCCAATGAATCTTTTTCTACGCATGCCTTATTTGAAACAGTTTTTTTTTCTAGACTGTTTTTGGTGAGTTTTTAGATTTCGTTTGAATCTTTTGTTTTTGTTTTCTATATATATTTTTTTACTTAAAACTAATAAAACTTTTTTTATTTTGCGTTTTGAAACAATATTTAAGTCTATTTTGTTGAACAAAATGTATACACAGTTTACTTTTAAATTTGGGCATGAATATTAACGATCCTCAAGTTGACACGAACAAGCATCTTATTGATTCTTAATTGAAAGAGCGAATAATGAGTTGCTGTAACTTCCGAGAGTGTCGTTAGACTGACATGAAGTCATCAAAGATTCCTAATTTGTAATAACAATGGCTCAAGCAAAACTACAAAAAATAGAATAATAACAACTAGAAATTGTAAATAGGAAAACAAAAGAAAAGGAAACTAGAGAATTCGATACGGAGATAAATAAACGATAAAAATAAAACATAAATTATTTAATATAAGATTAATAAAATATGGTTAAAAGGAGAACAACTAACACGGTTTTATTATGAGTAGAAGTATAGCTGTAAAAGATGTTGACCTAAAGTGTTCTTAAATGATGAAAGAGCAAGAACAAATAACTAATTCGAAAAGTTGTCAGTGACAGTTGAATAAAACAAGGATAGAACCGTTACAGACGAAACATCAAAGTAAGATGAAGTGGAATGAAAACATATTTAAAGTGATGAAGATGTAAACAAGGGTAACTTGGACGGTAGATAATATAAAGGATAGGAAGAGGACTAATATGGTAATCAATTTTGCAAAGCTGTATTTATGACAAACAGAAGAGGAGTGTTTGAAAGGAAGAGAAGGCACAACGATAATCGATTTCAGAAAAAATATAGAACGAAGCTCGACGCCAAACTTGTGGTAGAATTAATCCAATGACACGCCACAGTACTTTCTGATGTATTCCAAAAATTCTGTCATATCAATCCTAGTCTTTGCCGTTCCTTTCTGTTTCATTAGATGAAAGGTATATAACATTAGAAATAAATAAAGCTTATAACAACATTAAAAAGAACCAATCAGCTAATCCGTTCTGTGTAACGTTTAATTTTTAATTCGAATATTGCCTAAACTAAAAATTTTTAGTTTAGTTTTAGAATGATTAGAAGAAGACAGAAAATTGAATCAGAAATTGAATGGTTTTATACTAACATCTTTGCGATTTAATTGGTTAGAATGGGTAGCCATATTGAAAAATACAGCCCAATCAACTTCTTCTTTGACTGCTTGTATATGCACGTTTCTTTTTAAATAACACCTAAGCGTTCATTCCGAGATTAGTTTTAGTCGTAACTTTATGTATGTTTATTTGATATATTCATTTGTTGTAGATTTGTGTATTCCAACCACAATCATGCAACATGACGATGTTATCTGGAGTGTATTGAATGGTCAGTTTTGTTCATATAAACAACAAAAAACAAAAACACAACTATTTTGTTCCAATGAATATAACTTAACTGGTTTGTGTAATCGTCGTTCATGTCCATTAGCCAATTCACAATATGCCACAGTGCGTGAAGAAAAGGGAATTTGCTATTTATATCTAAAAGTTGTTGAACGTTCACATTATCCCAAAAAACAATGGGAAAAAATAAAATTACATGAAAGTTATGTAAAAGCGTTAAAGCAAGTCAATGAGCATTTGTTATATTGGCCACGATTTGTTCGGCATAAATGTAAACAACGTCTAACAAAATTAACACAATATATTATACGTACAAGGCGATTAATGTTGAAACAGACTGGACAGCGTGAATTAGTGCCTATCAAGAAAAAATATGAAAGACGAGAAAAAAAACATGAAGATAAAGCATTTATCGCAGCGAATATTGATCGCTCAATTGAAAACGAACTATTAGAACGTTTAAAGAAAGGAACGTATGGTGATACATACACGTTTCCAGTAACAGCCATCAAAGACAGTATGAGAGAAGAAAGCAGTGACGAGGAGGAAGACGATGTTGATGAAGAAGTTGACAAGAACGGCGACACGGAATCAGAAGATGAAGAAGAAATAGAGTACGTAGAAGATTTCCAAGAAAGTGAAGCATCCGATATTGAAGATATTAATGAAATGGAATATGAAGAAGAAGAAAAAGAAGTGCAACGGCCAGCAAAAAAACGGCAATTGGAAATCGAATATGAACCAGGAACAACAACCAAAATAAAAGAGAAACTAAGACAACGACATGCAAATGATTGATTCGTTCCTTTTTTCTTATTATTGTTTTGTTGGCTTTGTTTTCTTTTTATAATAAATGCAACGTGAGTTCAAGACGGTTATTGATGTAAGAAGCACTAGTTACTTTACTTAGATGAATTCTGTTTTCTTTCTGACCCGTGGATCTGGTTCACTATTTTTATCATGTGCCACGGGTTTCAGTGGATGATGACCAAGTGAGAAGTAATAAACGTTGCAACTGCTATTAAAGCATAGAGTACAATATGTTTGTTGTTTGTGGCGTTGTCCCACCAGATTCTGAATCAAAATTGCCGGATCATAATCTTTGCCCATATAGGCTTCATCATAGCCGCAACCTCTTACATCTATCATACGTCTTGGCAATTATCTGATACAGAAAATTAGAAAACTGCACATTTTTATTCGTTTTGCACTCTTCTAATTCCTTTTAAGTGAGCTCTTATTTTCCTGTTTTAGCTGACATCCTGATAAATTAGAGTTTGACTAGAATAGCCAACCGAATCAATAACTATTCTACAGCTGAAGTTTTTTCCAAGTGCCGTAGTCATCGGAATGAGAATGCATGAAAGAAGTGGCTACCAATGAAACAATAACTGTTGATGTAATATCAAAACAATTAACATCATCTGTTGTGTTAGAAGCATCTGTTGCTAGGTAAATAGTAAATTACCATAAATTTACAATAACATTTTATTTTAGTTGATTTTGTCTTTCTCTTTTTTTAACAACCTTTGTGATTCTGACTCTTTGTTTGAATGTATTTTTAGAAAATTTGGTTCCACGGTAGCACAGTGTTGTGAATATTATTTGGAATATCATAACAATAATGTTATTAATCCATTATTTCTTTTTCAATGTTTTGATCATAGTTCGAGATCGATAATATCAAAATAAAAAAGGCTACAAGACTTTTGACCTCTACACATTCATCTTCGCTCGAATGTATTGGCCACGTACGATATTTGGTGTCTTAGAAATATTAAAAGTGTAAAACATGGTGACGATTATTGAGAAGGTATTCTTGAACAGGATGATGTTGGTGGACAATTTGTATTTAAACAAGGACGATTCAACAAAGAATGGTGTTAATCGCTCTCCGCCGGAATCGTGGTACTTTGAATTTAGAATATTTAAGTCGGTCAGTGATAGTATTCATAGTAGAATGTGACATTGTTTTAGATAAACTAACATATCTCAAGTTAGTCGCTATAATATGTATCATCATTTTTAAGTCTTAGCATTTAAACAATATGTTTTCAAATTGTTTTCTAAGACACAATTGCTTAAATGAGCTCATTAAAATTTTATTCTGATATATGTAAAGTCTCCTATTTAAAATCATTTAATCGAAAATATCTTTGTTTCAAAGATATTGTCTTTTTTTTATTGTCACATGTTGTACGGTCTCTATAACAGGTTGTCTTTAATGCAGGATTGCTCAAATACCAATTCAGTTTATTTTATAACAGTATGTTTACATATGAACGAATATGAGACATTGGGAATGAGATCGGTTTACAATGTTAAATCGAACAATACAATACAGGCAAATATCAAATTGTAAAGAAATTATATTCTCTAAGAGCAATCCGCTAAATTTTAATCCTAGTCAGTGTTTTTGATATTTCACTTGTAGTCTACGTTCACAAACAGGATTTAGTGTGTACGTATTATCTGACGTATGTTTTTTTCACATATTATTGATACTTTGGTCAGAGCACGTTGGTTGTCAATGAATTGTTCCAAAATACATCATTTCAATAATAGATTCATTCCATTGTATTAGAGATTTTTTTTACTTGATCATTGTGTTGTTTATACATAACTACTTTTTTGTTTTTTCTCTTTGTTGAGAATATTTGTTACTATTCGTATATTTAGTAATTGAGTCTGTATTCTATTTTAGTTTCCGTCTAAATTCTTCGATCAGTTGATGCACTGATCGTGCGACAATTTAGTAAAGTTATCCTTTTTTTTCTAATCTGTTATATTTTGTTATTGTTAATACAATCATAGTTTACATAGAATGGGTAATAATGTGAGATCTTTTAATTTAAGTTGTTTTTTAAATAAAAGATTGAGAAACAATTATGGATCCTTTTACATTCTTACTGCTGTACAATTTAAGTTCATTGATGTTCCATGTGTTAGCAATATCACACTAATTGCCAGAAGAATAGATTAAAGTACTTAAATTGTAATCAAGAAATTTCTATTAGTTTGTTTTACACAGGTAACAGGTAACTCTCGATACTTACAGACAGCAATGTACAACGCTTCACATTCGGATTCATATCTAGATGATGTTTCTCCAGTAAGTTGTTTGTAACGATCTACTGTTTCTTATCATTTTAGAATTACATTTAAAAACATAAATAAAAAATTATAAAAATGGTAGACGATGATGATGAAGAAGAAATATCCACGACAGGTCACGAGTCGGTAAGAAGCGATTGATTTGATTTTTATACAAAATAATTGTAAAACTGTTTTATTTAGCCATCTGAACTAAAACGTATTGATTCAATTCAATTTGGTTTATATGAAATTGATAGTTGGTATTGGTCACCGTATTTAGATGATGATCAGACGACAACAAAACTTTATATTTGTGAATATTGTTTACGTTATTTTAAATATAAAAAAAATTATGAACAACATACGGTAACAACAAAATATTTTCGTTAAACATTATAATTTAAAATTTAAATCGACTATTATAGACCAATGGTTGTACTCGATATCAACCGCCTGGAAGAAAAATATATGAACATCCAAATGGTTTATCTGTGTTCGAAGTAGATGGACAAACAGCCCAGGTAAACATCTTTTATGAGTATTTTTATTAAATACACATGTGAATAATTGGAACTTTCGTGTGTCACAATCGTAAGCTCGCAATTTAAAAATGCTCTCGAACTCGTACACAAACATGAAACGACAAATCATTGTAGAGATTATGAGATTTTGTTCCGGAAAATCATGTAGACAATCAATCTGTCTTAAATGTTTGATAAGAAAATCGAGAGTATCTTCTAAACTCTGCTATTTTTCTTTGTAAACATTGTTCTGGTTTTATTCTGTATTTTTTGTTGTTTTTAGCTTTATTGTCAATGTTTGTGTTTATTAGCAAAATTATTTCTCGATCGAAAAACAATTTATTTTGATGTTGAGGGTTTTCTATTTTACGTATTAGCTAAATTAGATGACAATAAAAGAAATACCTATCATCTGCTCGGCTATTTTTCAAAAGTAAGACGATCATTAGTAGCAGAATACAATCTTTAATACTCAACTTCTTATCGTTATAGGAAAAATTTTCTGATGAAGGTTACAACCTGGCTTGTCTTATGGTAGATACCATTTTCAGTTAATTGATGCTGTATTGACCGACATCTTGATTAAACAAACGTCTGTATTTGTTTTAGGTACTCCCTCCACATCAGCGACAAGGCTATGGCAAATTCTTAATAGCACTCAGTGAGTTTAAATCTATAACGGGTGATGCGAAAGTTTTGAGACAAAATGCTTAGCTTTCTCGCGAGATAAAATACATTTGAAAGAATTCGAAAGTGAGTTGAAAGCAGGAATTGCTGCTCTTCCACAATGTGTGTTCATAAACTTTTCATCCTTTTTGTAAGCGGGGAAATGAGTCAAACTTTAAAATCTGTTTTGGATGGATTAATTTTTTTCTTTTGGTTAATAATTCCTTATGTTTGAGTTGATCAAACTTTTTTTTATGCCAGCTTGTAAAGCAAATTTTTCTTTACAAAATTTTAACATTTTAAGAATTCCCCTGTCAGAAATAGAGATTTTTTCATAAAAAGTCGATATAATCAGAAGTGTTTCTTTTACGACCTAGCATCATTGAAACATTAAAATTCCAGAAAAATCAGTTTTCTAGGCATTTTAGAAAACTTCTTCAAAAACTCTTAAGAACCTTTCGTATTGGCGACAGCAATATGAATGCTAAGAATAGATATCTTGAGCTATCCAACCATGTGTTTAGATTAATATTGACTTTTTATGAAAAAATCTATATTTCTAACTAGCAATATTTGGTTCTTGGTTCTGCAACCGAAACCACCGTTCCGGTTCTCGAGTTAGAACCGAAACGATAGAAGCCGGGGTTCTGATTCCGAACTTAGAACAGAATCGCGGTTCTCGGTTCTCAGCTTAGAACCGGAAAATAATTTTTAGGCAGTAACAACTCAACGAAATGCATTCATTTTATAGCAAAAACGAAAGGATTCTTTTAAATGATGACAGGCACATATATCTTTTTGTAGCTTTGTCAATAATGTGTTTTCATCTTGTTAAAAGAAAGGCAAGTCGAAAAGTCTTGGTTCCGAAAAACGGGAATCATTCAAGAAACCGCGATTCCAGTTCCACTGTGAGAACCGAAAATAAGAGAATCGCAGTTCCGGTTCTTCACGAGAACCGAACATCCCTATTGCTAACAGGGGAATTCTTAAAATGTTAAAATTTTGTAAAGAAAAATTTGCTTTATAACCTAGCATAAAAAAAAGTTTGATCAACTCAAACATAAGGAATTATTAACCAAAAGAAAAAAATTAATCCATCCAAAACAGATTTTAAAGTTTGACTCATTTCTCCGCTTACAAAAAGGATGAAAGCATTTTGTCTCGAAATTTTCGCATCATCCGTTATCCGTGATGAGAAAGACAAAGAATTTTTTTCTCGTTAGGTTATGAATTGACACGCCTGGAAAAGAAAACTGGTTCACCAGAAAAACCTTTATCCAATCTTGGTCAAATTGGTTATAAAAGTTACTTTCACTCGACGATTTTAGCAAAATTAAAATCTTATATCAATTCAAAAATGAACATAACAATTGGACAATTAAGGTATTTTTGATTTTCTATAAGGAGCATAACATCTCATTTGATTGTATGACAGATTTTGTGTTTGAAATTGACTTGCATGTGCCTCCAGGTAATGTTAGGTAAGATTCACAAAGATCGAAATAAACGTTTAAATTCATCTTGATTTTAACGTCTTTTTATTTTAATTTATTTAAACATCAAACAGTATTTATTTGCTGTTTTTTCTAGTGAAGAAACGGGAATATGCATCGATGATGTTGTTCAGTCATTAATTGATTTGCAAATAAGTTACACTAACTTGAATAATGAACAACGAGAAGAACCACATGTGAAGAAGAAAACAATACACAAACAACGAGATGATAACAATAACATATCATCGTTTATTATCGTCGATTCTGATAATGTAGTCAATTTATCAGAGAATAATCATGAGAAAAATTTATTTGATGCAAATTATTTACGTTTAATTGGACATCGAAGATAAAAACTAAATAGAGTTCTCAAAAGTTTTTTCTTTTCTTTTCACACATGTCGATATCGGGCGTCCGCACGTCAGGTTCACATCTTATGCTATATTCAATGACAATATATAATCGTATCGTCGTCAATGTCGAATTGTACAATGCTTGCATATATTTTTTTGTTAAATAAATCTGTAGAAGCAAAATATGTCAATGACAAAGCTGGTCAAATTGATTTATTTTTTCTAGAAGATCTGGATATGTTCAATTCTTTTAAGATCACCATTGGTTCATCTATACTCCTTCTGTTTTTTATGAATTGATAAGGAACATGTGTAGTCGAAGATTATTACCAAAATCTCTCTTAAGAATCATGATTACGTACCGTACCCAAAACGGTAAAAAATGCTTTCTAGATAGCAATTTGTTTCACAGAATTGACAATCAATGATGCTAGTGAGCTTCCTCTCTTTGTTTATTGTATAAAAACTTTCAACACCGGATGTGGCTCGTTTTATTTCTGCTAGATTGACTCGATGGCAGCAGGCGTTCACTCGTTATATAATTGTTTATGTTTCTTAAACAATTTGTCTTTTATTCTTAATTTTTGTTTGATACAAATGCATAGAGAAAATATTTCTCTACAAAATAACACGTTTCGCAAGTCGAGATGATTTTTAATGGGTGTCAGAAAACTTTCTACATAAAATATCAATGACTTTTTTTCTCCACTTTAAAACAGTTTCTGACTGATTCAAAGAAGCGTTTTATAATCAACAAAAAACAGACTTTCCGAATATATGCTTGAAACGTTTCGATCAACTTTAGTTTCATAGCAAAATTCAATATCAAAGTTTACTTTTTAATGAAAAGGTTAAACGGTATGAAGCGTATATTATATGACACTTTTGCTAATTTCCATTGTTTTTCTCAAAACAGCAAAATACGTATTACTGCTATTTTGAAAATTCTTACACTTTGCTCTATCTTTCTCCTTTAAAGTTTGTGAGTATACAGTTTTGTAGAGAAATGTTTGCTATACTCACGTTGTTTCAGGAATGTCTTGCAGTGACAAAATAATCGTTGAAAAAGGTGAAAGAAGCCAAGTTCCAACTTCCAATCCAAATTTTTTTCGAGACTTCCAACATAAAGTTCCAGAAAACGCTCGATTTTTCTGAAACTAAAGTTGATCAAAACGTTTCAAGCATATATTCGGAAAGTCTGTTTTTTTTGTAGATTATGAAACTCTTTTTTGGATCAATCAGAAACTGTTTTAAAGTGAAGAAAAAAAGTCATCGGTATTTTATGTGGAAACTTATCTAACATCTATTAAGTAACACATTATACAATTTTCCTGGATGTCTCAAAAACAGTCAGAAATAATTGGTCAACAACTCATACATACGTACTCGATGAATATGTGTAATATGGTATTTTTGATGACAAGCTTGTTTCTCGTGATATAGCTACTAACGATCAAAAATATCATTTAACTCTCATGATAGACTGTGAAAGCGTACATCACAGAGGGTATTCATCTCATATCGGGTTGACATTGTGACAGTATGGAAGGATCATGTCTTTAAGAATCTGTTCATCGTTCTTTTGACGAAAAGTCGTTACATGAATAGCGAACAACTTGTATCGATGATAAATCCTAAAATCAGAATAGAAAGAAATCCATCATAAGAGAATATATTATTTTAGAATTGTTTTGGTATTCTAACTGTTCAATCTGCTCCTCTGGCCATACCCTGAGAGTTTCAAGTGATTTGGCTGGGTTTTGAGTAAGATTGGAGTATTTTACTCTTGTATAGTTATAGCTGAATTGGTGGATTTTCCTCAAAACTCAGTTTCACTAGGTTTTTCCACCATTGCCTGGAAGAAAACGTTGCCACGGGGTTCAGTATGTCGGATAACCTATGTTTCTATTTACTTCAGAGGTTATCCGAGATCACCTAATATCAGTCTTGGGATTCTCAGCAAACTGATACCACCCCTAAAACTACAGAGGCTAAACCTACTGATCAATATATCATACGTAGCTTACTTTGTAGGAAATTCGATGAGCTTTAAAATGGTATATGAAACAATCTACTTATTTTTTACTAGTGTAAGAATAGTAAAAACTGGAAGTATGTCACATTTTCCCCTATCAATTTGCTTCTGATCCCACCAATACCGTGCTTCTGAATATACCAGTTTGTAGCAAATTTAATAATGACATAATCCAAAATGATATATAACAGAAAAATGTATGTTGTTTTGTTTGGGAGAAAAAAGGGCTACAATAGCGAGGACTGTCTACTATATTACATACGTAGTATTATTCTAAGCACCCTACTGCTATCATTCTATAGAGAATTTTAGGTACTATCCCATGATATATTTACTTTATGGTCTACGCGAAAGAAACGTGAGAAAAACACTTTTTATGTAACCTATAGCTAGCTGATCTTTGAGGAATGAGCTGTTGGCACCCTATTGACGATAAATTACTTGCAATTTAGTTACCAAAAGTGACTTAAAGTCGACTGATAATATTTTTCTACTACTCATAGAATCATTTTTAGACAAAAAAAAAGGTGGGTCGATTATCAGTTTTATGCGGACCCCTCCTTGGCATCTAAAGCTCATATTTTCCCGAATTCGAAAAGAACAAACAATAAGTCATGTAGTTGAAAATACTCTTTGTTGCACATGGTAATTGCAATTTTCAAAAATAATCATTATAATGTTTATGCATCCTTAATTTTTGGTTCTGTTGTTTAACCGGTGATAGTTTAATGATACGTTTATTCGTTTTTCGCTTAAAATGTATTAGAATAATAACTGGTATTAACGATCTATAGAACCGTTTACGAGATTGATCTAGTAATATATTGACGCTTACTATAAATAGGATTGTTTGTTGGTCACTATTTCTTACTATCCTATTCAAAAACTTGAACGTAAAGTATCAACTGATTTTATTTGTATCAAATAGAATGATTAAATCCATTCTGATCTTTGCTTATTGTCACAAATGACATTATGTCTCGTTGAAATTAAAGTGTTTATTGAAATTCATTTAATACACATTGTTTTCTTGCGAAAAGGAAAAGCAGAAAATTGGAAAAAAAATAGGTTAAATACAAGTATAAAATAAAAGACATATCTGTAAAAACACTCGAGTAATAACAACAACAACAACAACAACAAGAGAAGTAGAGAGAAGAAAAATGAAAAAAGGATGAGAACATTGCATTTTCGGTTTAAAAAAAGAATGGTCATTAAAATTCATTAAACTCTTTTTCATATAAATTCGTCGATGATCTTGAAGGCTCTTCATCTTCAGCATCGGGAAAATTGTTAACTTTAACATCCGGCTGCCATGGTGGACGAATTTTTTTTAAAAATATTTGTATAAAATCAACGTCGCGAAACCATAAATGTTTTTTAATATCATTCACACCATTATACATTAAACCTAAACGTTTTGTTAAATCTTTTTGTAATAGACCACGTACAATGTCAGTCAATTCTGAACTAAACGCAGAACGTGGACGAAATTTTGCACTTATAATTTTATGATAAATTTTTTGTTGATCAGCATCCCAAAATGGTGAATAACCAGCGTTCATTTCGAAAATTAGTACACCCAATGCCCAATAATCAACTGAAAAAGAAGAGAAAGATAAATTTGAATGCTAGTGATTACCATTGAGTAAACCTACCACCAATATTATAGCCACGTCCAAGAATGATTTCTGGTGCCAAGAATTCTGGAGTGCCTGACAAAAAAACAAGAGAGTTATATGAAAAAGTAGAATGTTTGCATAAGCCTAAAGATATCAATGTAGAAAATGATAGTAATAAATATGAAAACTTTTTGACATACCACATAAAGTATAAGCTTTGCCTCTGTCAATTTTCTTGGCAAAACCTACAAAATGAAAATGAACTCTTAGAAATTAGATTCCTCAAAAATAACTAGATTTACTTACCAAAATCACACATTTTCAAATAACCATGCCTATCGATTAAGAGATTTTCGGGTTTCAGATCTCGATAAACAATACCTAGAAAATAGAATGATAGCTTTAAGAAATTGTCGCATATGTTTCATAAAGCTGGCATATATCAACATGAGCTATATTTATTGATAAACTTTTAGGAAATTTTGTTTTTAGAACGAATAGACTAATTCTCTATCAGACGATTATATGAATCGCTAATGTACCTGATCCTCAAGGCTACAGCTGCCCCTTAGAAAACGATATTTTTGTAAATGCATCGTGCTCGGAGATAGAGTTAGGTATCCCCGATATGATATATTTTTTCAATGCTTGTGATCTTTTTTCCTTAGAAAAAAAAGATTTTTAAAATTAAATTAAACAACTTTTATCAGAAATTTTTACTTTCATATTAAAGGCTGCAAATAAGACTAAAATTTTCTCTAAGTATTTAGACGAATAGAGCAAAATGTTTTCTATAAAACGAGATGTTTCCTGAGTCTCTCTTCAAAAAATTATAAATCTTGGAACCGAATTTCGTCGTTTTTTAATGGTTGTCTTTATCATTGTTGCTATAACTTGAACTCAATCGTATAAAACTTCGAAGACATCGTAGAGATGATAATAGAAGGCTCTAATTGTATATGAAGTTTTTAAAAAATCAAAAGACTTTGCACTTGAAACGAAGACTACCGCTCATAATCTTAACTTTTAATCATACATTTGATAGAAATTCGAGTTCTATAGCTAGCTATCCGGGGCTTTTGTCGTTAGTGTAGTCATAAGTGTGAAAACTTACTTATGATGTTTCAGTTTTGAATCGGCCGTTTCCGTACGACAAAAAGAACTAAACCAGTAAAATACTCATCATCATCAAAAATATGTTAGATGGATAATGTATAAGACATTTAGTTTATAATGAAAAACAACAAGTGCTATTTTTCACAGCTTCTCCAATATTAAGGATACAAGACATTAAATTCAAGCCTTTTTGATGCCAACAATATGTAATCGGAACTTCATTTTTATCAAACAATGATTTTCTCAGCTGCTAGCCATCGTTCTGCGTGACATAAAAGAGGTAATTATGATCTATACTTTGCTTACCTAGATAATGTAAATATTCCAGAGCAAGTGTTATTTGTGCTGAATAAAATTTTGCTTTTTTTTCATCAAATCGTTCGGCATCTCTTAAATGTCGAAATAATTCTCCACCTTCAATTAATTCTAGACCAATATATAAATTGGCATTGTCTTTAAATGAAAAGTAATATTTAATTATAAAGGGAAAGTTCAATGCTTGTAATATACGTTTTTCATTCACAACATGTTCTTCTTGTTTCATTTTATGGGCACTTTTTTTGTTAATGATTTTTAAAGCGACACGATATGATACTGGCTTGATATTTATATCAGCTGACGATGATACAATGAGAAAATCAGGCAATGGGTCTTTTATACATTTCACTTCTTTAACGGAACCGAATGCTCCACGACCTAATGGTCGCATTATTTGAAAATCGCGATAAACAAGTTGATAGTGTTGAGGTGACTCATATCGTCTATCAAAATCTTCGCGAGCTCTTGTATAACAATCAACTGGAACAGCATTGTTGGTTTGTTGACCAGATACACTGCCCATAGCCGTATGGTTGAGTAAAACTAGAATAAAACAAAATAATTATTATATTCTCTCAGACATTTTTAATAGCATTTAGATCACTCCTTAAGCTTAGTTGGAGGTTTGTTGACGTTGATATACTAATATATAAATAAAAGGCGTATTTTGAAATAATACACGAGTAACATAAAAAATTGACACATCGCTAGGTTTTTACTAGTCAGACTCACAAATATTGTCAACTTGATCTTCTATAACATATGGTGGATGTGATTTATTTGCACCCATTTTCTACAGTATTGTTGGTGTTTTGATTGTACCACGAACACATAATTCAAGCAGAGATTTAAAGGTAGCAAAAGCTCATCTTTTTACACAGATTCTTTCTCATTCTCTTATTTATAGATGTGTGTCGACAAAGTAGAGTTTTTTCTTATCTTCTTGTTTTGTAAAAAAATTTAAAAAAAAAGTTGATGCACATATTTATAACAAACATTTCGACTGTTATGCTTCCCACCTCGACTCTGAACCACAACGCACCTTTAACGAGTTGAGAAAATGAACTGTTCGTCATCAAACGTTTACTCTGTTGAAAATGGCAAATATTATCAAAAAGTATATTACAGCGTAGTGACTATATTTACTATAGTCCTATTGTTTAGCAGTGTAATCGTCTAGTTGGTGATAGGAGGCATTGATCAACTTTATAACATCTTTACATCAAATCCATAAGGAAATTTTAATATTTTCACACGATCTCATCACCACAACGAGTACTGGAGCGCGAAGATTTGCTTTTCTGCGAATGGAAACCCATAATGTACCTTGATACTAGGCCGGAAAGTCCATTTGTGATTATGCGTAGGTACTGCATGAGAAGGTGACCGAGTTGTAAATGAAGTACATGCCTTGTCGTAAGACTAAATATAATGTATCCTTACCCCAACTTTCTTGTCACCGTCACGACGCGAGTCGCTAAGAAAATTGGCGTTTACTGTAAGACTCGCAAAATAAAACGCGATTTTTCCCCGCTCATACCAAATTAAAGTCAGGATCAAGGCTATAATATGTGCTTACTTGACTGAGATGTGACAAAACTTTGAAAATTTTTCTTAAATCAGCGTATATATACTAATTTTGTGTCATATCGTGACTGGAAGAAAAAAGGATGAGCGTGATGCGATTTTAAAACTTAAAAGAAAGTTGTCTTACCGCGAATCACTATAGTGAGTCACGATGCGACTTGAATGCGATCGCAAATTATAAATTTGTTAAACGAAAGTTGACTGAGGCATGTACTTATTCTCATATTGAGATGGAGCAAGGATGTCAAAATTTTCTTCATGATAAGTTACGTTCTTTCAAATCTACGGTGCTCAGTTTTTTTCCTCATGATGACGAACATAGCGATTTTTCTCGATTTTTCCATAAAAAAAAATAACAATTATCTAAATATCTAACACAGAGGGAAACGAGCTGCATTTTCGAATTAGGCTTTTATGTTAGGTATCGGACGGATTTGCTTCGATTTTGTTCATTCTTCTCCTAAATAAAGTTTATATCAAGCCCAACTGAAGGTACATAACAGCTATGTTATAGACATAAAACGTGCAACTATAAGAGTCTAAATGTAACTGTACGGCCATTCCACGTAAAAGTCCACTTTTACGTAAGTCCGTGACGTTTTGTGAAATAGATAGCTCTTTAACCGAGCAACGTACAGGGTTGGGAAACGTCTTATTTTGTAGCTTAAAGATTTTTCTTTTAAATGGTAATTAAGCAAAGTCTACCAGTCGATTAGTTTAAGTAGCATAATGTTTTAGCTACACGCCACTTTCGTACAAAATGGCTTTATTGGCATGAATTAGGAGTAGGTCCTTAGAGTAGAGCTAGACTTTGCTTAATTCCCATTTTGAAAGAAAAATCGTTAAGCTACAAAATAAGGCGTTTCCCAACTGTGTACGTTGCTCGACTGAAGAGCTATGACTTTCACAAAACGTAATGGACTTACGTTTTGGGGCCGGTACGTGTGGGATGGCCGTGTATTAGTAGGAAAGTAAAGCGATTTCTTCCTGATCTTCTGATTTTTGGTCTTTCTCTGTCCTATTTCTACTTTTCGAATGTTTACCCTTCTTCGAAGTGAATTAAAAGACAACTCATAACTTATACATCATATCACAGTGATATCACTTTGTATTAGAGGGATAGTCTTGGATAATCATATTTTAATCATTCTCTGCAAGTCTTCTTCGTGCACGGCCAATTGACGTAGAAATTCACATATTAATCTAATCGAGAAATTTTAAAAGTTTGTTCTCTCGAAATCCAATGCAGATTCGGACTTTCATAGTCGATTATCTCGTATATCACAAATTTAGGGTGGAGGTACTTTTGTAAAATTTTACTATGTCGGTTAGCCTTTGTTTCTTCCAAAAACTTCTTAAAAAATTATTGGGTGAAGCAATGACGTGAAATTTTCAGAAGTACATCCACCTTAAATTTGTGGTGTACGAGATAATTGACTATGTAAATCCGAATCTGTGTTTCAACTTTTTTCCAAAATTTTTCTAAAATACGCGGGTTCATATTCATCACGGATCACGAATGTCACGTTTACAATAAAAAAAGGTGTTGTTTTCGTTGAAAAAGCCAAATTTTACCGTAATGAGAGCGTCATCTTGTGTTCGGCAGATTTTACCTCACAGTTGATACTAAAAGTATTTTTGAGCTTTTAAGAATCAACCAGAATATATAGAAATGGTTACTCTAACTAGTTCAAATAAAACATAGCGTCAAAATGTCAAGCCTCGAAGTTTCTGCATTGTTACCTTGTCTTTAGTAAAGAATCAAAATGTGCAAGTCGACAAATGAAAACCGAAAAATCACTTTTTTTAAAATCGAGTTGTATGAGTCGCGATCGACTAAAGTATCAAAAATCCGTAATACTAGATAGAAATAAACTGACATAACTCTATTTAGAAAAAGTGATTTTTTCGGTTTTCTTGTTGGTTTTTCTCATTATTTGAAAAAGTATAGCGCACTTACATTCAGAAGTTGAAGTTACGAAAAGCAGTAATATTATTAATCTTTAATATTCATAAGTCATACGTCCAGTTGCAAATGCTTGTAAAATTCAAATAGAAATGAATCACTACAATATAGACAAGAGGCAATTATAAATTCTATCCTTTTTGTATAAACAAAGGCTTTACTAATAAACTTTGTTAAGTATTTCAAAACAATTATTAATTACCTTCTACCTAGTTATTTTCCCTATCGATAACTGGATGTATAAGTAAATACAAAACTCAAAAGCAGAGAGAATTGGAATGATGGTAAGAAAACCTGCTCATTGAAGGCAATCGAATATAAGACAAAGTAAGCATTGTACAAACATGATTCTATCTTTCCGAAATTTTCCTATATACTATGATACAACCACTAATTTTGTTGTCATTTTCTTTTCCTATCATAATTGAATTCTCTTCAAAGATTATTTTTTCTACTTATCAATGTATTTTTACTGCAATGTCAAATTATAAAAACACTCTTTAAATGATCTCTCGTAGTTGTGTGCGTATAGACGTTTTTCAACGTGAAAGAGGATATGTGTATGTAGTAGGAGTAAGATTCGAAAGGAAATTACTGTTTATATTTTTAGAGATGTAACCTATAATAGTTCTGTTCTATCTTAGTTTATTTTAAAGTTTTTCAGATTTATCTTTTTACTAGATAAATCACAACATTATAGATGCATTGCTGTGTCTTACACATTTTTCCGTATGACAAAACCTCAATGAAGAATAAGAAAGATATGATGTTCGTGATACTATTTTCTTTTAAGAAATAGATATAAAAGTACTACTAATGATGAACAATGTCTATTCATTAATAGAGATGTCAGAAATAGAAACAGAACTGAATAATAATACGATCGACGTGAGCAATCATTCTTCTATTTTTATACGCATAAATGTCACAATATACAAGCAACAGTTATATTTAGAAAATAAAGAATATATATTTTAATACAACAGGCAGCATTTCATTATCTGAATGCAATAAGTATATGAGATAGCACACTTCAAATCTTTTGTAAATATAGTTCTTTTCATATTCTGTTCACTTATTTACTTTTGACTATTTTCATTTGGCTATGTGGTATCCGAGATAATTTGGTATCATTTTTCAATACAAGGCGAATTACTTCTAACGCAAACAGAAGAAACGCTATCCGAACTCTAATTGTCATAAATCATTCTTACTGTATGAAAAATTATAGTCTCAGTCATTTTATGATCAATATTTTCTGAAAATTTTAATTTAAAATAAATGTTTCCAGGTGTTAATGAGTCTAAATGTCAAAAGTGATTATAATTTTTCAAACAGTGAAAGTGATATATGACAATTAGTGCTCTATTTTATTGCAAAAGTCCTACTTTACATGTAATTAACAGAAAATAGAACGAAATTTCACTGGGAAGAGATTTAAGATAGAATAGAAATGATATACTTCTTAAAATCTTAATCCTAATACATATATCATTTTGTCAAACATGACATTGACTCGCATGGTGTAGATATTCATTCATTAGCATTGACATCGATTGAAATGAAAATTTTTCGTTTGAATATTCAGTTATTGTAAAACAATTAAACAAAGATGAAATACAAAATTATAGCTTCTAGACTTAAATTAAAATTGAGTTCCTATTATAGAGAAAGAGAGAGAGAGACAACTGCGATTTCACAATGAACAAACTGAGAACAACATCATTAGTTTTTTTATTAATAATAAAATATGTATCTTCTCTCTATCAGTTATGTACATACGATTTTATTTGGTATGGAGTTATTAAAAACATCGACGAATACTAATGAACAAAGCATCGTATTTAATTACAACATTTAATAATAGTTGTAAGATGCTGAAATGATCGAGTCACTTTCATCCTATTACGCACACAAGACCTCATTGGTATATTGAATAATAATAATGAAAGAAAAAGAAAAATAAAAGAAATTCTTTTGGTTTTTTAATTATAACACCATCACTTACAATGTTTCGCATAAAGTATAACTCAAAAATAAGAAAAGTTATTCAAATGTAATAAAAATGTTCTTAGTATTAGAGTTTTTTGTCAACAGAAACACCACAAGATGTTGATAGTAAGTAAATCAATCGAAAGAAAAACAAAATTTGTTTGAATAGAAGACTGTTACTAAATTAATACTACTTAAGACTATATTAAATCAATAAAAAAAGGAAAACAATTATAAAGAGGTTT